CTTGAAACTCTTTATAATGTGCTTGAAGTCATAGTATCTCTTCTAATACTCTTGAGTCTTTCTCAAGAATTTGCAGACTTTCTCCTGAATCTCCTGAATTCTCTCAGCTCATTCACAGGCATCACCACACTCTATAGTGTACTCTCGCGGGTTCATCAAGATCATTCACAGATAAGTCTCAGTGAGCATCTCAAAGAGGATTTTATCTGTACTGACATATTTTAAGTTGTTGTACATGAACTCTATGAGTGATAATTAATGCATTCAGTCATTCTGATTGTAATTAACAAAGTATCACAGATACTGTTCTAATATACTCATCAGGCATTCTGTCTGATCATCTGTCTGTTGATAAAAAGTCATACTTAGATCTTATGAGATCTTCAGTATAGTTATCAGATCAGATCAGAACTCTTCTACAAAGATTGATTCTCTGTCTGAGACAATGTTCACAGACAATTCATACAACTGAATCACATTGCAGATGAAGATATGAGTCAAATTCTTTGACTTCAAGTTCTTGTGAGTGAGTATAAAGTGTGTCATCTTGATGAAGCAATTCACTATCATCAGCATACTGTCAAAACAGGCATTATATATGTTCTTACTTTCAGAGAGGCTTATAAGAGTATTCATTTCTAGCTATTTTCAAGGTTTCTGCAGAATGAGTAGAGAAGTAAGTTCTTCATATAATTTGAACTACACTATCTGTGAATTCTGATAAATAGTATAAGAATTCACTATCTTCTTCACAAGTTCTTACATCTTCAGTCAGAAGTATTTCCTTGTAAGCAACTCATGAGTTCTAGTGTCTGTAAAATGATCTGCTAGAGAAGAGTCATGATATCTTTTAATAAGTTCTATGCATAGAAACTTATTCACAGACACATAAATTCAGTCCTCTCTTTATAAGAGATTATTTAAGTTTCTTCAATTCTTTATTTCTGTAGAATTGATCTCTGTTATGAGTAGTTTCTGAATATACTGAGTATATTCATTCTTCAGTTGTAGTTCAGACAATCTGAATAGAAGATCTTGCAAAGACTTATACTCTGTTTTTCCTTGTATCAGATCTTCTGCAGTGCTTCTCAAAGTCTGCAAACTCTTCAGATTATAGATACTCTCTTCAAGAATTCTCACAGAGATCTTCAGAGTGTTAACTCTCAGTGTTATAGAGAGTAGTTATACAGGCTTCTTCTCTCTCTTCTCCCTCTTCTCTCATGAGAGATTGAGAGACTCTTCAGTCAATCTCTTTATAACACTCAGTTCAAGTATTCTGTGAAGCTTTTCTGTCTTCTCTAGTCTCTCTGTGTCTGTCATTCTGGCCTTCTTAATATAGTCTGACCTGTGAGAGAGTCTGTTTACTGAGTTCTTAGTTTTCTTGATATATTCTATCTTGAATCAGAACTCACTCAGTCTCTGAGCTCAGTGAACCTGCTATTACAAGAGTTTCTTAATTGAAGTAAACTGTTACAAGCTGTTATGATCAGTTCTAACAGTAATCACTATTACAAGACTCTCAAAGTAGTGACATCAGTGATGAAAGAATTTCACTATCATGAGAAGCTTCTGATCATGAATGTTATAGTTGATCTTCACAGATTACATCTTCTATGAGAAAAAGATCACTGAAACTCAGTTCTTATTTGACTGTAGTTGTGAGACTATTTCTGAAATTATAAAGAAGAAGACATCTGTCTTCAATCTGATTAAGAGTAAGAAATCAAAGTGAAACAGTATCACTGTGTCTGTAAATATCTATTTTAATCTTGTAAAGATCTTATGAGCTTCTGAGATAAGAAAGTTCTCACAGTTCTTTCTTCTCAACAATCTTTTCATTCTTCATTCACAGAATAACTTCTTCTTATTTTCACTCTTCAGCATGTCTATAAGAGTCAAGAAGATTCTCATGAATACAAAGATAAATCATCTATAGAAATTCACAAAGCTCAGAAAGATCTGAATCTCATGAATACTAGTTAACTTCAGTCATAATAGAATAGTCTTAATCTGTGAAGATTTCATCTGAATATTATCTGTGATGATTATATATTCTAGGAAATTAATCTGATGAGCACTGAAGTTGCACTTTACAAGCTTAATATACAGTTCTGTCTTATCTAAGACCTTTAACACACTTTACACATGCTCAGTGTGTTCTTTCTTCTTTATAAAGTACATCATCACATCATTCAGATATATTATTATGAAGACATTCAGATATACATGAAGTATTTTATTAATGAAAGACTGAAATACTGTGAGAGCATTAGTCAGATCAAAAGACATCACTAGATATTTAAATAATTTCAGTGCAGTTCTAAAGACAGTCTTTTATTCATTCTCAGACTGTATTCACAGTTATGTATATACATTGATCACATTCAGTTATATGAATATGACAGCTCTTATAAGACAGTTAATCACATTCTCAATCAGAGATAGAGAGTAGTGACTCTTTATTATCTTAGAGTTCAGATTGCAGTAGTCTACACATAATCTGAGATCTTCATTCTTTTTCTTTGCAAATATCACAGAGGCTTCTGCAGAGATCTGTGAAGATTGAATAAAGTTATTCTTCAGATTCTTCTTTACATAGATCTGTAAGATCTCTATCTTGTAATAAGAGAGCTTATAGATTAGTTCTCAGAAGAGTTTCTACTCTTCTATCAAATCTATTATCAGATTCTTCTCATAATAAGAAGAAAGCTCAGCTGTCTTAGCTGAGCTGAACATCTCTGCAAGATCTCAGTATTTCTCTGATATCTGAAGCTCAGTTTTCATAACTGTGAGATTCTCAGACACTTATAAAGTTATTATATAGATGAGCTTGTCTTCTCTAATCAACTCTACAGCATCAACTGCTTCTATCTTTATAAGTGAGTCTGTTAACACTGATCAGAAGTATAAATCTGACTCATAGACAGCTATGTGCAGATTATGTCTTTGAAGTTATATAAGTCTTAAATACATATCATCTGTGATATTCATAATAATCACAGTTTTCACAAATCTTCTTCAGATTTCAGAGAGATCTTGTAATTCAAAGATGACTCTTATAAGTCTCTCAGCTCTCAGATCTAAGTTCTCATACTCTGTTTATTATAAGAGTAGATTCTCAGTCTTCATCTTTTAACTCATTTACTCTGTGAGCTTTAGAGACATCACAGTGATCTGAGATTCTGAGTTCACTAATACTTCTTATACTTACAGAGCAGCAGTACTGTGACACAGTCTCTCTCTATAAGTAAGTATTTTCATTAAGAGAGCAACAGATTCAGATATCAGCTTTAAGACTCTTAAGAAGACTGTTGCTGACTCTGTCTATGACTTCTCAAATTTCTATTTTGATTTATCTGAACAGTTTATATGAAGATGTTCTGATTTAGAACAGATGAAGCAGAGTTTCTTTTTCTTAATCTCTCTATTATACACTCTGTTTACAGAAGTTTATGAAGCTCTCTCTTTCTACTCAGCAGTCAGATACAAATCTCTCTGTATCTTATTATCTTTTTCTGATAAATCTGTTCTCTGTTATTCTGACTCTTATAAGATCAGTCAATGATCTGCTCTTCATAAGTCTGTAACTCTCACAGTGATTTATAAGTGATGAATGAGAGTCATCAGTTTCTTCAGAGTCAAGAACTTAGAGTCTTACTCAATGAGCTTGTTCTGTATGTCTTTATTCAGTCTCTTTATAAATATTATCATTCAGGTCTTGTTTCAGAGCTCTGTTTTCACAGATCTCAATTTATATCATAATTTCATGAAGTGCTGTAAGTAGTCTTCATCAGATTTCTCATCTCTTTTTCTAATATTAGTGATTATAGCTCAGATGTTCTCTGTTCAGCTCACAGAGTCTCTCAACTTATTCTCTAGATAGATCTTGAGAACAGATTATCAGAATCTCTTATAATCATTCTCTAGATAATTCAGTCAGTTCTTGACTTCAGTGTAATAGAGATCTGTCATTATATAGATGATAGCTTCTTTATCTTTCATATCACACAGCTGAGCTTGTGAGTTAATTTCAAATACAAACTTATAAAAGCTTTTATAAGTTGTGATTTAATAGATGATCTTAAGTGATCACAGCTTGAGAAAGTTTCTTTTCAATTTATAAGTATCTCTGAAGATTATGTCTAGAGACTTGATTTGAGAGTGTTTGTGAGTAGTAAGTATTTCTTATAGAAAAATAGCTTGATTCTGTAGAAGATGCTTAAGAATGTTCTTCACTAAGATTGATTTATTCATGAATTCAGAGAGTTTCTCTGTCACAGATGTAGAGAATGATGTCTTATGAGTAGTTAATAAGTTCTCTGAGACTTCTTTCATAGAGATTATTCATGATTCAGATGACTGCTTCTAAGTGTCTGCAGTAGAGTTCACAGGAGTTGAAGTATACAAGTTTCTAGTTCTTTCAGTCATAACAGATGATTGCTGACTGACTGAGCTTGAAATGTAAGAATAAGTGCTTGCAGATGATTATTCAGGTATTTACAGCTTGATATGATATATACTGTTAACTACTAGAAGTGTTCACAGTAGGCAGATAAATGTAGAGATCAAATGTATAATAGCATTCAAGCTGAGTTGTGAATAGTATTCGCGAACTCCAGTCTATATAGTTGTGTGTAGCCAAGGGCCGCTAGCCCTATTGGTTATGTGAGAGATAGGAATAGGGGTAAAGGATCCGCGAGGAGCGGGATTTCTTACACTATCAGTACTACTGATAAAAGAGCTGATTAACTCTTAGAACTCTTAACACACTCTCTCAAATCAGCTATTACAGAGTACAGTACTTTTCTCAGTGACTTTTCTCAGTGACTTCTCTTAGTGACTTCTCTTAGTAAACTCACTTCTAGGGCTCAGGGACTCACTTCTAGAACACACTTCTAGAATGTCTCTTAACACTGTTTTAAATATACAGGGTATTTGTTTGAGATTTATATTCTTAAGTTCATCCTGGGATTGAACCCATGCATGTTGACCACAGCAGGGCTCACGCTAAACAGTCTCATAACCTGTAGGCTACTGGGGCAAAAGAGCTCAGTCACCACCAGCGCTGCTGGTAGAAGGGCCGATCAACCCCCGGGACCCCCAACAGTGTAGCAATCACCAACATACAGGGCATCCGGCCAACAATACACTATTTTTAATGAGATCCACTATTGCGTTCAAAAAGTACGGACGCACCGCACAAGGCCCTAATAATGACATCTGAGGGATCCACCGCTAAACCCTAACAGAGCCTCAGTCTTGGCGAGGCTTGGCAATTACACTGCTTTGCGCCAATGTTCCAAGTCGGCGGGCAACAGAGCTCCCACTCTCCCCGCCGCTGTACATACGTTTCCGAACATCATCTGTTGCAATGGCATGGCTTCTAGCTCCGGTTGCGAGACACATCATACGCAGTGGCAGGCCATTGCTCCCACATGCTCAACGGCGATGGGCCCAAGTCCACGACGTGCGGTGTTTAACCACCCATCATGACTCAAACCGAGTGATTGACAGGTACAAGGATAAGTTAGATCGCAAGGCCAAAGAGTAAGTGAACTGTTTTAGACCTCCCAAACTGATATGGTATTTTCGCGAGAGGGACCATTCCAATTCCTGTATACGATCGCTCACGATGTCACCGCCTCTTAAAAGGGAGGGGTATTCTTCGATTTCGTCTCTCCAGGAAGCCTACCAAGATAAAATCAAAGACCTGAAAACGAAAGCAGAGAGGATCCCACAACCTGTCCCATCCACACCACAGAGCTCCAGTGCTAGCCCATGCCCTGAAACACACTCCCCGACGACTGCTAAGTCTACACAGCCCACCGTAGACCCTTCGATCTCGCAAAGTCAAACACCCGGAATAAAACCTTTGTCCTCCTACCTCGACATTCCCAAAATCCTCACGCTTCCTGCTAAAGAAATCGAAACTCTCTGGCGTCTCCGACATGCTGCCAATCCACGATCCATCTGCGCTGCTATCCCGATCGATACTTACCTGCGAATGGTTGACACCGCCAGGGAGAATCCACAGTTTGTTTTACCACTGCCACGTACCGCGGATAGCGGCCAGCCGGAAGACATGAACGACGGCACTGCGCCAGCAGGCACCACTGAATCAGCAAGCACGGGAGCAGATATTCATTTCCTGCAATGGGCCTTCCACCCTCCTGCCAGCGCCACAACGTCTCCTCCAACGGCCACAACCGTTGATTCTCCACCCACGCTAAATACACATACGTCCACCGTGCTTTTCACACACCTAGCCTCGTACAAACTCCACGGTGCATATTCGCAGCCGCACACAATCATCACCCACCATCTCGACCTTGCAGACAACACCGGCTTGATTCTTATGAACGGGAGCGTGGTCCAGGATCGTGGCGTGTCTGTGGACGAGGCAAAGCTATTGGTGCTGTGGCTACAACGATTTTACGATTGGGGCGTGGATGGAAAACAGGCCGGGAAGAAGGCGGACTTGGTGAGAATGTTTACCCAGGGCGATGTAAATGGATTCAAGCTGGAAGATTTGATGGAAGAGGCTGAGAAGATCTAAATCATCCTTTCATAGAAGTATTATCCCCCCCCCCTTTTATATATATATATGTATATATATATATACAATGAAATTATGTAAGATAAGGAGGTGGAATTCTCCCCCCTGTTCTTTTAGTTACAGGTGTGCAAAATATCTTGGGTCTTAAGCGTGAGGGCGGGGGACTGTATGTAAATGCACATATTCTTACCATAGTTCTTAATAGAAGTTTAGATTACTAGCTGCCTTATTTGGCTCGGTGGCTTGGGATCAAGCCTATGCCTGTTCTATGAGCTTTTTAAAACCTCGGCCAAAGGCACAACGGTGCAGGCTTCGTGTCTGCATACAAACTGTCGCTGGGTACCTTAGTGTTTCGATGGGAAAGGCATGCGATTTGATCCCAGTGACTATCTGTAAAACCGTAGATAGGTGGCACTATACTGCCCCCTGACAAGTTTATATTTTGTGTTGTTGGGAGGGCCAATATTGGAGACGTGCAAAACCTTGAAATTTTTTTGAAAGGGTATCTTAGACATACATGAGAAGAGGATTCAGGCATAAATTGGATGCGATGGGAAAGAGAAATAGAGATAGGATCAAAAAATAAACTAAAAATCATGCCATTATTACAAGAAGCGATGTGGGGGGCAATATGTGTTTTTATATCACATAGGGAAGGGCGCTAGACATAGAAAAGGGGTTCGATCAATCCAACATAGCATTACTGGAAAGCTGTTGAGCATTTGTCTTTCGTGCCTCGTCCGGATAAAGTAGCTGTGCCTTTCGCTACGGGATTGTCTGTTACACCTTGTTCCAGCGAATATTCCCTTCCGCCCAGAACAGCTATGACGGTATGTAACTGCCATTTCAGGTCCATTCCAGGATGGTCGCACGTTTATATCAGATCGTTAAAAAGAGCAGTTAGGCTAGCTCAATCATCTAGAACGTGATCCACAACAAAAGAGTAGATATAGTCGAAGTACCCCGGTTCCGCAACTGTATCATTATGCTGTCCATTTGGGAAAGTTCGCCAGACTTTTGTACTAGATTTGCAGATCGAAAAAAGCTGGACCATATGCTCAGGGCTAAGAACAGGCTATACGTTAGAATATCGGGCCTCGTGAATGTAAACATTACTCCGAAATGGGGGAAAGAGGGACATACGGGACAATCTCATCCATGAGCCCACTCAGGAACAGGATCGGGACCTTTGTGATCTTGGGCAGCGTATCCTCGCTAGCCCAGTATTGGTGACAAAGGCGAACAACGTATTTTGCAGCAGGGAAGACACTGAGACGATTATATTTATTAGCAACAAACACTCCTAATACCCCAACAAATAAACGCGAATTATATCATAAAACGCGTTAGAGGAGACAAAAAATAAAAATGAAATAAAAAAGGTTATCGTCACTCGATTCGGTTATATGGCTTTCATACCTTGGGATCATCTTTTGAACGCTCAAGAACGTGTTCTCCAGTATCAATCCTGCTATATCCCCTCGATGTTGATTTTTCGCAGTTAAATCGATCGCGACCGCACCACCAATACTCTGGCCGTAGATTAGAACTTTTGTATCGCTCGTCTCCGCACGCTGCCGTATATAATCCAAACCTGTTTGGGCGTCAATTTTCAGGCCCTGTTCATCCGGAGTCCCTGTCGACTGGCCATAACCGCGATATTCGAGCATGAAAATATTGCAGTTCAGAGACTGCTCCAAGACCTGCGCGATGGGGAGACGGTGGCCGATATTTCCTGCATTACCGTGGAACATGAGGACGGTTATTTTAGGCTTAGAATGGCGCGTATTAGACGGGCGAATAAACAGCGCAGCGAGAGATTCCCCGTCAGGGGTTGGGATTCGAAGGTCCTCGTAGTCGTTCATCCCAAACTCCGACGGTTTAGGAACTTCGGCGCGTGACCCAAGAGGAACATTGCGAGGATAAATTATTTCGCTTGATAGATAGAAGTAACAGTGGTCAGTTAAACGTGCAACGAAGAAAGTAGATATGTGACGGTCATTTACTTTTGCTTAAAATAGAGCATGCCACTGGCGATAATGGCCAGGCCAGACGACGCCAGAACCGGGAGTCTGAGAAACTGCACCACATTCCCAGCCATTGTACTAAAATTCCAGGATGGTGGTGGCGGTGGGGAGTCTGCCATATCTGTCTCGCCCTCTCCGGGGAGCGTATATGGTTGGTTTCAGTGACAGTTGAGCTTGGTGTAGGAATCGTGATTAGCCAGGGGTGCGTGGGGAGGCGGGCCTAGTAAACATGGGGCAGTCTGGGAAGTCACCTCGGGCCAAAACAGCCGCACACAAGGCATCTGGGAAGAGAAGGCGGAGGCAAACGGATGCAACTACGGTTTACGCAGTACACAAACAAGACATAATTAGGGAAGACGATGACCTCGCCTCAAGATACGCAAAATAGACTGGATATTTTTGAACGCCTCTTCTGGCTATCCTCTCCGGTGTTGAGATTCCCGTAGAGTTTACCGCAGTAAGCGCGTTAGCCAATTATAATAGCCGGGGATCAGCCAAGTGCCAAGGCCATTCCCGATCGGGCGACACGCGTTGGACCTTGCTGCCTCAAGTAATAAACCATCAATCACCATTTTCCCTCTCAACATCACAGACAATCAGGACTGCGCTCAGAGAAATTTCGCCAACAGCTTCATTTCAACTCGCATAACTCTTTCTCGGGTATTGAACGACCTCATAGACCTCTTTATCTCTCTTCCCAGCTCCACGCTTCCCGTCGCTTGACACTTTATTCTTGCCAGTCTCCCACTCCGAGCTCCTGCTACATTCAGGTTAGCTACAATGGTTGCTCATGGAGTTACTGGGTGTTTGGGAGAAGGTTAGTGGTTGTTGAATTAAGGTCGACTATTTTCTGTGAAATTGGAACTGACGATGGTACAGATGGGATCCATATTGACATGAATCATCTCAAGGAAGGAGAGGTCAAGTAAAGGATACCGCCCTCCGTTTCCCTCGATTGTCCTGGTCGTAGGCTAGCTAACAAACCCTTCTTCTCGTAAAATAATAGTCTTGGTACCTCAATGTGAGCTCTTGTCCTACCTATATACCGGCAGTCGTATGTTTTGAAACACTAATCGCAGTTCGAGCAAAGCATGGCAATCAACTTCAAGGACGGCGTTATTCTCGGGGCTGATAGTCGGACGACTACTGGAGCTTATATCGCGAATCGCGTCACGGATAAGTTAACACAGGTGCACGATACCATCTGGTGCTGTCGGTCAGGATCTGCTGCGGATACACAAGCTGTTGCCGATATTGTTAGTTACCACTTAGGAATGTACGGTGTCGTCAACCAAGAACCCCCAACAACCCAAACCGCTGCTGCGTTGTTCCAGGAGCTTTGTTATGACAATAAAGACATGCTCAGGTAAGTAAATTTTCCTTTACCGCTTAGTATATTCTTTATCGCCTTCCGTCTTCTATCTCAAAGTTGTTCGCCCATACTAATCGTGTCGTTTAAATATCTAGTGCGGGAATCATTATCGCTGGCTACGACCCGCGACATGGAGGACAGGTATACTCGATACCGCTGGGTGGCTCTCTGCACAAGCAATCATATGCCATTGGTGGTTCCGGCTCAACGTATATCTACGGCTACTGTGATGCGAAGTGGCGGGAGGGAATGACTGAGGAGGAGGGGATCGAGTTTGTGAAGACCTCACTGCAAGAAGCAATAAAATGGGATGGCAGTTCTGGCGGTGTGATCCGTATGGTGGTGTTGACAGCGAAGGGCGCAGTACGACACTTATACCTTCCGGATAACGGATATACAGGCCCGGGGTCGAAATGAAGATCGTAAGAGCGTTGTTTTTCTGTTTGTTTGCCTTTGGACCCGGCTCCCCCATGTTCCCATATATTTCTCCCTTCATACTCATCCGTAGGAGGTGGTATGTTGGAAAACCCATCTAGATGAATCAGCTCTTTTCTGTGTTTTTACTGTTTCAAACTTAACATCTATACAGTACATTAGAGAAGAGTTTTGGCAGAATACCAGGGGACCGACGCATTGCCCATGGATACAAATTAATTTTCGTCACCCCTGGTAAGATTGTACAGTACATACATCATACATACACGGTAAAAGGCTACCTAGTGGGAAAGGTATACAACAAATAAGTTCTTTGGAGTGGGGTGACCTGACTGCATCAAGAACCTGTAGGATAGTTGAAGGTTGTATTGATAGATCTATCTACAGGAACATATTATAGTGATGGGTCACGTGATCTAGTGGGATCGCTAACCGCAACGGCCGTAAGGGCCAACACCCCCCCTCAAGATAACAAGAATCACATACAAAAACACCCAAACCATCAAGATAGTCTGTCAAAACCAAATACAAATGTAAAATTAAACATTCCCAACTTTTACACCTGTAAGATCTAGTAAAATCATGAATTATATAAATATCACAGTATTTAGAGATTTAATGAGTTTATTCACTGTTATTTAAGTAATGAAAATATATTCTATATCAATAACTCTCTGATTCAACTGTTAATATAAAAAATGAAAATATATATTAATATGCTTTCTTCAGACTGTAATAACTGTTATCTTTATAAGATCTATAACACTCTTATTATCAGTGAGAATCTGTATCAGAGATATAGTAATAAAGTCAAGCTTAATTATAAGATTCTAAATTCATGTTATCTCATGAATCACCTCACTAAGAGTCATATATTCAGTCTCATTGAAACTTAGAGATATACAAGATTGCTTTATTAAATATCATGAAATTAGATCATCTATAAGCTTAAAAATGTAGCTGAATATTGATTTTCTATTATTATTTAAGAAGTCAGTTTAATCAGAATCTGAGTAGCTGAAGAGTAGATAGAAATTATCAGAGAAATAAGAGATAATAAAGAGATTAGTAGAAATGATAGAAACAGTAGAAATAGATCTCTTATATAGACTATATCTGTAGAAAATACTCAGATTCATGATTTCTTTCAAATAATGTATAATATATAATAGAGTCTTTTAATATTGAGATGTTGAATTAACATTTCATTGAGTGAGTAGTGAGACAGTGTGAGTAATATCAGAACATGTTTTAACTGTGAGATATTACAAGCAACTCATACTATATTAATATCATTAAATTATGAAATCAGTCTCTTTCTCAGATATAGAGAAATTATTAATATGAAATTCATTCTTCATTGATATTCTGATAATAGCTGTATTATCAAGATAGAAATCTTTAATAAGATATTTAATATATTAATAATGTATTAAATCAATTCTCTTATCTGAATAATTAATCTTCATACTTAAATACTTGATTGACTGATGTAGATTCTTGACTTTTAATTTCTCACTGAGTATACTCACTAGTTAATCAGTATTCTCAGAAGCTTCAGATATGATGTTGAGATCATTAACATAGATTATTATATAGAGATGATATCTGAATATATAATATCAGAGTGTCAGATCATAAGTACTGACTGTAAATTTAAGATTACTCAACAGAGCTGTTAAGTAATCATATCAGATCTTTATTACAGAGTTCAGATTATATAGACTACTCTCAACTACACAGATAAGTGTTTTCAGTGAATCTGTCTTAAATTCAGTGAATTATCTCATATAGACCTTCTTAGTAAGATGTTTATGAAGATATGTTATTACTATATTCACTTAACAGAGTGTTTAACTGTGTAATACTGCTATTATAAAAAGAATATCATTGACAGTATCAGTGATAACAGAAGTGTAGATCTCTTCTCTAAAATTCTTCTTAAGTCAGTTATTATAAATTACTCAACATAATTTTCTAAGAATATTATCAGAATTGATATTCAGATTTACAGGTCTATCTTTCTCAAGAAACACTTAATGACTCAGAGCAATCAGTTCATCTCTCAGAATATTAGATCTAGAAATCAAACTTTATATATTATATCTCTTCAGATCAGTAATCTTGTATTATATAAACTTCTTTTAATAATCTTCTATTCTCTCTGATCAAGATGTGACATTCTTGTAGAACTTCAGAAGATTATCTGTAATAAGGCTTGAAGTATAAGTAGTCAGTGATTTCACAGGCTGCAATCATGTGAAATTTGAATTATTAATATTGAGAGTATCTTCATTATTAATCAGATGAATATCAGGTTTCAGTTCACTGATATTATTAATAAGTGTCACAGATGTAACAACTGATTTCAATTTTTCAGTGATTGAGAATCTTACATCACTACTGATAATAATCTTGTCAGATTCAGAATACTATAGATGATATATCAATGTGTCACTGAATTCAATGATACAATACAAATCAGTATGTGAAGAGAGCTTATCTGTAAGTCACTGAGATTTATGTAAGTGAATAAAAACCTCTGCACTCAATCAGTGAAAATGTCTTACATTCAGTGAGGTATTCATAAGTGCATATTAAGAAATCTTATGTGAACTTGAAATCACAGAAGTCTCTGCAGTAGAGAATCAAAATTTCAAGTTGTAAAGAACTGTAGATATAAAAGTATTATTAATTATTGTAATCACTGTCTCTAGAACATCTGCTCAGAACTTCTTAGAGAGATTATCTTTCAAAGAAGCAGCTCTAACCTGTCTCATAATACTGTGAATCTCATATTCAGAAATACTATTCTGATGTGATGAATATAATACTGTTGATTCTCATTTAATATCATATGAATTCATAACTGTGTGTATATATATGAATTGAAAAACATCATTAATATTGATCTGTAGAAAAGCAGGGGCTGTATATCTGAGATTACTCATGAATCTGAGTCATAACTCAAAGTATTGAACAGCCTTATTCTTGAACTTTAAAAAATATACTCAACAGTAGCAAGTTGTGTCACAGATGATAAGTATTCAGTATCTAATTCTCTGATGAGACTCTAAGAGATGATCAGAGAGATCTTTCAATGTACATTCATCATTTACAAGGTCAATATGAATCTTCTCAATAAGTTGAATAGATCTAGATATCAGTGTTTTCAAATAATCTCATATCATATCTGTCTTGACACATTTCTTACAAAAGAACTTAGTCTTAGAATCTTTAATTGTGACTTCAGTATGAGAATCCTTGATCATAGTAATTATAGCATCAGTATGAATGTGACTGAGATTATAATACTAATTTAAAAGAGTCTTTGATATCTTTGATGTCTGTGTTTTTGCATTCACAGAATTGACATTATTAACAGTAGTGACAGCAGTCACAGAAAGATCAACTTTTCAATCAAAATTATACTCATGAGATATCATTGCAATATACTTGACTGCTCTGTTCAGATGATTGAGATTCTTATTAAACTTCTGCTCATCAATCTTATATATGTTATTCTGATTGATTTAAATTGCATGAAAAATAACACTGTTCAGAGCTCTGTAAATGAAAAGTGAGAGAATAGTGAAAGACAATGTAAATCAGAATCTCTGATCTTCAAGCTTCACAAATAAGAGCAGGTTAACTGTAATATTAGAAATATAGTGAATATTCTGCAAGTTAACATCATCACTCTCAATCTTCAAGATGACAGTCTCAATCTTCTTGACAAACTCAGTTTTCTCAGTCACAGAATTGTCAGAGATATTATCATTAAAAGATTTGATATTTGAAAAAGAATGAAGCTCATCTGTCATATTCAGGCTTGCACATGTGTTCAAATATCAAGATCTAGAGAATGATTTTTCAGTGACTGTGAAAGAGAAATAGAACTCAATCTTTGTAATTACTGCATTTGCTGCTGATTGAGAACTTATCAAGTTATTCTTCTTCTCTTTCTTCTTATCATTCTTCTTGTCATTCTTCTTTTTCTTTTTATCAGAGTGTAAGATGAAACATCTGTCAACAGTATATTCATGTCTTCTACAGTGAGTGTACTTTTATACAGATGTGCTTTTATTCTCATCTTTGTTCTTGTTCTTTTTCACAGTCACAGAATCAGCCTGAGACTGCTTTTTTCACTCAGTGATAATTTTCTTGAATATACAATTAATCAGTTGCTTCATGAAATCATCAATATCAATGTTGACAATGAGTTTCTAGTCAGTGAAGAAAAACTCATTCAAATGTGTCTTGATAAACAGTCTTTGATAATCTTGTAGATTATTGAGAAAAAGATCATGATATATATTCTCAGTGCTTTGACAGAGCTACTTGTGACAGATAATAAGATAGTTAAAATATCTCTGAAAAGTAAGATAATTATTCTTCTTGACTTGTAATTTTATCAATTTCTTGAAGATATTAATTCATTCTTCTGTCAGTGATATTATATATTTAATATTAATCTTATCTCACAGAGCTGCAGTATTATCAGCTTTCAAGATTTTAATAGTAATTTGAACATTTTCAATAAGACTCAATAGTATACATCTATATAGAGACTTAGAACAGATTCTTCACTTCTCAGAGTTGATATAATATGTAAAAGAAGATTCTCATTGAGTTCTCAATAGAATGTCAGTTTCATTAATAACTTTTATATCAGTCAACATATCAACATATCAAACTTCATAATTAGAGCTATCAAATGTAATCACTGATTTGATGTCTAGTGTATATTTGACTTTCTTCTAGTATTTCTGCAACTCATCTCTCATAGTGTCTCTTTGTACAGAGACAGGTGTAGTGAGATGTTAAGTAATTTCAGTCATAGTCATTTAATTTCATAGTATTATCTGTATAAGATTTATAAGATTGTCTGCAGTGTAATAGATAGATTGATTCAGATCATCATTAAAAATCAGCATTTCAGAGATGAAGAATAGTGAAGAATTCAAAGAATTGAAATGAAC